ATTGCAGAATTATTTTCAGCAGCTACATTGAAATTATAGTTTGCTATCCTAGAGAAATATACGGTTTTGATTCCTTTGCTCTGGGCATTGTCTTGTGTTCGACTGTACAGAAGGGCAGTATTATTTCTTGCCTATCCTTTGTAGACCGCATATGTAAACAGTTTCCTATAGATGCAATTAACCAAGGCCAGAAACCACTTTAAAACACATTAAAGCAACATTACTGTTGTGTAACAAGTTAATAAAAGTTTGAGGTCAATTAGTACGTGCAAAAACACGTAACATTCAGCATGCAGCTGCACTTTGCATCTGGTCTGCTATGATCTTTGGGAAGCTGTTGGATGCCTCACCTTGAAGAACAGCATATAAAATGTTATTTATTTATTTGTTTACAGCCGGTATGAACTGAACCAGATAAGTTTAAAATCCAGCAGAGAACATTTTCACTCAAAGGGAACTTCATGTAGCCTGCGACTACTTCTTACTTCTATGCTTATGCTTATGGCCACATATTATTATATAAGCAATATGTCTCCCCCCCCCAAAAAAAACCCCAACAACAGACAAACAATATTCAGATATTGAAAGGAAGTTATCGCTGCCAAAAGGATTAGCTGCTTTGGAAGGGATTGCTCACTTAAGGCTAGTAAATGTTCAGAAACTGGAGAAAACAAAATTTGCAACTGTCTGCCAAGTATTGAGTTTTACAAATGTTTACCATCCATACATCTTCCAGGAGTTAATATATTTGTGTTGTCCTTCAAGGCAATTTTTATTTTTCTATATACTTCCTGCACCTTTTATAAAAGAAGCTAAAACATCTGCTCCCACATAATCCCATGAGTATTTCTGCACTGGCTGTTTTGTTTCGTATTTACATTTGCTCTTCATTCTTACGCTGAAACCATATGGAGATTTTGCCGTAAAATTTATTTTCAGATCCTCAAGAAACATTTGAGAAACATTTAAGCTCAGAAGTTTTAGAAAACAGTTTTCTGCTGGAAATAAAAGGTACAGGAGCTCAAAAGCACTTAGAAGCACTTCTTCCTTGTAGCTTTGCTCAAGGCCCTAAATTACAACTTACTACTATTTCAGAAAATAATTCCAAAAAAAGTCATGTAACATCCAAGATTTTTTTCCCTCACATTGCTGGCTAAGGTACGTTTATTTTCCTTTTTAAACAAAATAATAAAATATCTGTTTATTTTGTGTTGTAATCAGTGCTCAGTCATTGCAGGGTGCAAATATGGCTGACTGCCTTCGCAGTGTTTATTCTTTTTATACAGGTATTCAAATAGCATAAAGTAAGATGGCATCAGCATAGCAACAGTAGTTCTATTGGTGAAACCCCTTGCCAATCCTTAAGAATATACCAGCTAGGAGGCCCCAGACGGAGCAGTTTGCTGCAACATCCTGTTGATGTAACCTAGCTGATATCATGTGAACCAGGTGATATCATATACTAGCCTGGAGTATTTCCCTACATTGCCATGGTGATGTGAATAGATGAGATCATGTAGAGAGAGAAGAGGCACGCAGGCTTTGGAGGGGCAGTTTGCTGCTCACGACCTCTACCTGACCCCTATCTCTACAATTTTGATTTTCTGCTTTTATTTTGCTTTTTTAATTTTAATTACCTCAGACAAATTGTCCAATAACCAGCAACCTTGTGGTCCAATATAATTTTATATTTGAAGACAGTTATTTTGTAATAGGATATTTAAAAAAGAAACTTTGATTCGCTTTATTTGACGTGGCCGATCTGGTGTACAGCCCCATTTAATGGCAAAAGCATTGACAGCAGACTGCCATGTGACATCCTAGGAGTTGAAGAGTCTCCTTTTGAGCAGCTACTGTCACCACTCAGTGCAGCCATGGAGAAGAGAACCTTCTACTGCCACAAGGTCCCAGATGTCCTTTAAGCCTGCTGCCCCTGAGCCCTGTGGAGTGAATAATAACACAAGTGTTGAGAATATGCCACTGCCAAACCATAAAGTTGCTGTTGACTTCCATGTGCAGAATCCCAATTCTACACTTTAGGGAGGTCCCAAAGGAACCTTGCTCCTTCAGATACACAAAAGAGCAATTCCTTATATACTTCATTGAAGTTGAGACAGGCCAAGGCATACAGAAATCTATTTATTGCCAGACAGAAAGTTGAGTCTTTTGCCCAACAATCACAAGGGCATCAATGCTTTCTTGTGCATGGAATCCTGAAAAGTGATCCTGAAATTAGAAATTAAGGAAATTGAAGTAGAATTTCCATCATTCCATCGTCAATGTGTTGATTGCACTGACAAGATTCAGTTGTGTTGGTTTTTTACAGTGCAGTGAGAAATTGTTAATCACTTTTAAAAATTTTTTTTTAAAAAAAACAACACAGCAGAGGTCAATAGCAGCATCATATTTTTAAAATATCAGGTTTATTTTCCTGGTTTTTGGGTCATAATGCATTCTTAGTACAGCTTTACATAATATAAAACACCTAAAAAGGCAATCATGTGTCTCAGTTTATCAGCAACTGATTAATGGGGATGATTGATCCGCTGATCTTCACCATAATAGCACCTGAATACCACTCACGAGATGATTAAGGCAACAGCATTTCCTGATTCTTGCTCAATGTTTGGCGATTGATTGATTGAATTTATACATCAGCCATCTCACTGAGTAATCCTGAACAGTTGTTCCAAAAGATGGAATGATCCGCAATCAGATCAGAACCAATAGCTGAAAGGCAGAACATTTATTTTTTTATTATTTATTTAAACAATGTAGATGCCGTCCAACTTAACATCAGTGATTTTGGCCAGTGTGCAAAGTTAAAAACAATTAGTTAAGCAATCCAGATCATAATGTCCAAGGACACAAACAACAGTTCCAAGTTACAATCAAACATTAACTGTTGGAGCTTAGTTAACTTCCTGACCCATCTTGTTATATAGCAGAGGTCAGACCTTCTTGAACAAATAATAAGTATATTTGTGCAACTACAGACAGTTAATCCAGGCTCCATTACTGTTGTAAATCAAGGGTTACCTGTATAGTAACAGAATCTTGCAAGTCTAGATGTTTTCCCTTTTCCTCCCTTTATCTTCATGTGAACTAGGGATGGAATTTTTTGAGACATTTTGTTATTTTCTTGGCCTGGACTCAAGCCCCTCTTATCTGACCATAGCAACTCTTCCTCCTGTCCTTCAAGGCTGTTCCCTCTTCTTTCTTCAAGGTTATGATCATATATGGTCAGTGAATTAATTGTGTGATGCTCCAACTGTTGTGAAGATCATAGAAATAATAAGGAACTCTTTGTTTCTTAATGGAGCATACAAATGGCTCTGCTGAAGGAGTCTGTTTTGATATCAAACTTCATCTATGTTTTTTTGTGTGTTTTGGCTATTTGGTTATTTTTTGTTCTCTGTTTAACTTTATTTTGTTGTTCTTTCCTTAGTCATTGTATTTTATTTTGTTGATTATGTTGTGAGCTGTCCAGTGTTGTTCTGGAATTGAGCAGTGCTATAACTGAATAGATTAATTAAATCTGGATACGACAAATGTCACAGAGCCATCATTAGGGAAATCCTGCTGTAATTTTGTTTTAGTTCTGTGCCTTTCTTGTGATAATATGGATCTTCTCATGCTCACTGACATTTGCAGCAGTGATTTTCATAAATAAACTGAAGTTTGAGGTATCTGTTGGAATCATGAATCCCTAGTATGGGCAGTCTCCTAAATTATCATCTGCATTTGCCACAGTGTCATTTTTGATGGTGAGATGGGCAGTGTGTAAATGTAATAAACAAATGAATAAATTTCAGTTTTGAACCCTACTCAGCCAATTAGAACTGTGAAAAAAAGGAATTATTTTCAAAATGAATTAACTGGGATGTCTTTTTAATTTTAATGGTGGTTCCTCCTTTTCACAGCCTTTGGAGTGGAAGTTATTCACAGAATTGCCTATATTTTATGTAAATGGATAAGTTACTCTGTAAAAAGATAGACAAATCTATTTCCCACACGAAGTTCAATAAATAAATCATTATTTAAAATGAACAGCATCTGAGAGAAACCTGGAAAGCAAGCTCATGCAGGCCCATGATAAAGTCTGGATAATGGGAATGATGAAGGCCTTCAAGGGATACCAATTAATTGACTCTTAAAATACTTATTTTTCACAATTCTACTTGGCTGAGAAGTCACAAATTGCGGTCTTGAACTTTTTTAATGGGACTGCCAATGAAAGTCTAAGTGACGTGGACAGTGAGTGGGAGCCTGGTAGATATCAGGACATGCTTTAAACTGACATCCTGATTTCTTTGAGAAAGAACAGCTACTCCAGTGAACTCAGAAGGGAGGTGAAGAAAGAGGGGTGGTTAAGGAAGAAATAGCAGAGGAACCTGCTAGATCAGTGGTTCTCAACCTGTGGGTCGGGACCCCATTTGGGGTCGAAGGACCATTTCACGGGAGTCGCCAAATAAGGCTGTCCGCCATTTTTTCCCCCTTTTCTTTGACCACGCCCCTGGCACCCGGTGATGTATAAGTGGTTGGGGGTCACCACAACATGGGGAACTGTATTATGGGGTCACGGCATTAGAAAGGTTGAGAACCACTGTGCTAGATGATTGTGAAAGATAAAGATGGTTCCCAAATAGGCAGCAAAGATTGAGGATCTCTTTTTGAAGGGTTTAAACATCTTTAAACAATTCAGTGAAATTTGGCTGGAGATTTTTGCTTCCAAGCAGTGTTTCCGCTTCTGTGATATATTTGAATCCTACCAAGGTTTAATTGTGGGACATTATTGGGAGAGCTTCCTCTCAAGTACATTTGCTTGGAATTAAAGCTTTAGCTCCTATATTACTGCAACATGTTTATTTTCATGTGCACTTTACTGGATTCAATTCCTTTCAACTACATAAATATATTTTCAAATGTCTGTTTCATTCGTGGCAACCTTTCTATGCAGAAGCAACAGGCTTGAGTTTAGCACAAACACCACTCCATGATTAGCCACGATAAACTTTATTAATTTTAATTTAACAAGCATTGATTTATTGAAAGACCAGGCAATGAGGTTCATCACATTACCTTTTTATAGTTTCGGAGACAATAGTCTGATTCTTAATTAAGCAAGGTAAAGACTTCAGCAGAAATCGTTAACAGTTTCAACTATCTGAGATTTTGAGGTCACTGTTTGTTAACGTAAACCACAAATGTGTTTTTTTCCCTTACAATTCAAAATAAAAACACAAACTGGCTCACAAATCTATATATGTTACTGTCAACATAACACAGCATAATATAGCATGCTGAACAACCTTTCTGCCGAGGTCCCAAAGAAACCATTTCTCCAAAGTGTTATTAATGCCAAAATTGCTTGTGATGCATCTCCTGCATCTTTGAAAAGCTGAGCAAAAAAATATTAAGCCACAGGCTAGATCATAACAAGTGTTAATAATACAAATATGACCATTGGAGATACAGAACCAACAACACAAAAGTTCAAAGCGAAAGCATGAGATTTGGTTGTCTTTTGTTAAAACCAGGGGAAAATAATATGCTTCGATCCTACCCACTGACATTATACCAATAGCTGACTTGCCATAAGATAAAACATTATTTGGGGCTGATCTGAAAGAAACCTGGTTTGTAATATAAGAAACAAAGGCTAAGAAACAACTTTTAGCCAAAGAACAATATTGTGCCTGGATAAACATTTTAAAATATTTAATTACTAAATAAACTATGTAAAGAAATTCTTAAAAGAGTCCCAGAGATAATTCAAGAACATTAGGTGGTTCCAATATAATCATTAAGCCTTCAATATTAATTAGTCACCTAGTGTAACCACGACCTAAAGGCATTTAGATACCAGCAAAGACACCACAGTGAATGCTAGCCACATGGTATTTGGATAACAAGAGGCTGGATACACACTGCCTTAGGATTTGTGAGTTTTAAAAAAAATTACAGATACATGTCTAAATCTAAGTGATGATTTGTTGAAAGAATGCTTCCTATGGGAGCATATGCTCTCAAGAATAAAGCAAAAGCCGAAGAGAAACATGCAACTATGCAAGCCTCATAATAGAGGGACATTCCTAGTACCCCTCCACTTCAAAATACGTGTTACATTGCAGAAGAAACCACAGGGTCTCATGCCAATTTTTCTCATCTTCATGCAGCCATGATCTCAATATAGATGGATGGTTGTCTTTCCTTTGTGGAACTTTTCTGTTCCTATTTTTACTTCATACCTTGCAGTAAACTAATTAGCCTTTTCCCCTTAAGGAATGGATAATGCTCATTTTATTTCTTCTAGTGGTCCATTCCACTTCAGTAACTTCCAGAGCATCTCGTACCTAATGCCTGTTATTTGACTCTTAAACATTTCTCAAAGTCAAATAATATTGTCGCATAAAAGATACACTTAGTAAGCAAGTTCGCCTGTGGTATCCTGAGACTGGGTCCTTTACTTGTTCCTAACCCTACAACTGAACCAGAATGCTACAGTCAGACTGCCCTTTTATCTCAAATTATGTTCTAGATTTGCAGAAATCTAGATTTGGCAAAAACTGTAATTTATTTATTTACTTCTATCATATGGATACTTCCTTCCACTTCTTAGCAGAGGTATTTCTGAAAGCTGACAGCTCCATAAGCCATTACATTTGGGTTATGGATTCTTCTAATGCCAATTAGAATACCTCTAATGAATGAGGAAGCATAGCAAGGTATTCAATGGCTTAGATGTGCGATTCTCACAACCATGTGCCATTAGGTGCCTCTCCTGCCCCAGGATGAAAACTATCAGAAGTCTCAACTGGGTTTCCTAAACCATTCGCTTCCAATTTCTCTGGATCTTCCCAGTCTACTGTTCATTTTTTAAAAAGAAAGCAGAAGATATACTGAAGTTGAAATGCTGGCTGGGAAGCTTGCAGACAGAAATTAATGGCACCCTGAATGGGTTTTCACACTTAATGGAAGTCTTTTAAATGATCTTCAACACTTGGTTCCACAGCCAAATGCGATCAAAGGCTATGCTCAGAGAACAGCATGCAGGAAATTAGAGTAATCTAATTACCTCAAACTGACAAGCAGAACAAAGCCTGTAAGACTAGGTGCAGACGTTATACCTAATCTTCTAAATATATCTAGAATCTAGAACATCATTGTGAAGGTACGTAGCCCTTCAAAGAACAGGAACAGGAACCTCATTCTCTTAGTCAAGCATAATCAAAGAACAATGTTCAATGTGAGTTGGTTGGTTAAGCAGCTGATTCTTTTAAACCACTTCTTTTTGGTAACCATGGCCAAGGATATTCACGGCCTAACTTGCATGCAGAACACAGTCTAAAGCTATTGCACACCCACTGAGAAACAGCTCTAGCTTAAGTACATATAATTCTGAGGACCTAAGCTGAGCAAAGGATTTATCAGATGGCACAAAATGGCCTTTCCTACATCTTCAGAGCATCTGAAAAGTAGGGAGGAAGGGAAAGAAATCCATGAAACATGACCTCAAAAGGAGCTCCAGAAATGAAAATGCTGCCTTTTTATTTTCACTTTTCCTCCAAGCAGCACTACCAAAGTACCACTTTCCCTTCTTTCCATGGCGCTTGATAAAGGGATGAAAAAGATTGTCTCCCAGCACAGCCTTGTTTTCAGACATCTGAAAAATAAGACCCTTAAGAGCTTGCCGTTCATACAGCCAAATGTGGCAGCAAATTCTAGGCAAGTTAAGAGAACACCCCTGAAATATTCACCCCGTGAGAAACAAGGAGTGCCCACCACAAAAAGAAGCGGATGAAAGCTGTGAACAGTGAAGCCTGTGCAGAAGTTAACAACTAGGTCACTGAAAATCCAGGGGTTTTATTTTCTGCATTTCTTATTTTATAGTAGAGCATGAGACAAAATGAAGGAAGTACCTTCCCATTAGACCGCAGAGTTATGAGGCAAACAATAAACCTGATGGGTGCAATCCACTAAGAACCCTCTAGGCAAGTTTCCCCAATGGGTTTGCCAAGGACCTCTGTTAGTGGACTAAAATATTGATCGAATAACCCCAGAATTTCCCCAAAAGCAAACACAGAGCTTAAAATCAAAACATTCATTCAAGACTTCATTCCACAGGAAAGCCTGTAGAAAGGCAACATCATAGCAGGTCTTTGGGAGAAGGCCATTCTGTGCACAGCCTATTACGACTTCAGCTGGCAGAGTGAAATGGTGGTTCCATTAGAAAACACCCAGAATGCAGAATAGACAGCTTCTGTGAATTCTACTTTGAATTTATAGAGCACGATGACTTTTTTCTCAATGACACCAAAGAAAATGACAAAACCCCCATCATAATTTAGAAGGACGCCAATCTTCGTTGCTTTGTTGCTCGGCAGAGATGTGTCTTTTTCATTGTGCCAAGCTGAGATCTTATTGTTGACCTTTTCGATGCACCAGGAGCTATTATTGCGTCCTAGGCGGCTTTTCGGCCCCCGTCTGGGGATGCTCCCATAGCAGATGCCGACAGCACAGAAGTTGTTGTTCTCCAAATCAACTTCCCAGTAATGGATTCCCTTCTTGAAACACTGGAAGGAAAGCACTTGGAAGTAGTTTAAAAAGCGCCGAGGGTGCAGTTCGTAATCCTGCACTGTTTCCGTGACAGACATCTTGGTGTTTTTCTCCAATAAGATGATATTCTTATGAGCAGTGTGGAGATCCAGAGTAAACTGTGTAGCAACTAGGAATAAATACAATCGGAAGAGAAATCAGAAAACAGCAAGAAACCTGAAAAAGAGAAGGCAGCAAGAAAGAAAAGGCTAGCTCTGCGGTTTTGTTGTCTCCTAATAAGCAGTAGGCTCCCTTTTTCTAAAACAGTGGTTCTCAACCTGTGGGTCGGGACCCCATTTGGGGTCGAACGACCATTTCACGGGGGTCGCCAAACAACGCAGTCCACCATTTTTTCCCCCCTTTTCCTTAGCTGTGCTACTCCCTTTTATTCTATTGGCTTTTGAAAGCCAATAGAATAGACTCCCTTGAATAGAGTCTAATTCTCTTGGCTTTCAAAAGCCAATAGGAATTGTCCAGGCTGTCTCTGCCCTGCTGAGCCCGCCAAAAGTCCCATTCTGCAAACGGTGCTGCACCAGTTGAGTAATCCTCAACTTATGACTGGTTGAGTAGTCCTCAACTTACAACCGGTTGGGGGTCGCAGCATTAAAAAGGTTGAGAACCACTATTCTAAAAGGTATCTCCTCCCCTAACCTCAAAGCCAACTAGAAAAGAGGTGCAACTGAGACAAAAGGGCCACCATCCTAAAAAAAGACATTTCAAACCGTGTTGGAATAGGACATTCTCAAATGTTCTTAAAGGCTCAAAAAGGATCATCATCCCCACTTTTCTACTTTCACTGAGCTTCAGTCATATTCCCATCTACACAGCTTCAAACAGAGCCTCATTTCTCAATGATCGCATAGAGAAGAATCCAAAGTCTATGCCAATTACTACAGAATTCCTCCAAGAGGTTAATCAAATACCTACAAGAAGCCCTCAAGATACAGAAGTGCCAATAGGTTCCCTCCTGGTCCACATATAGTCAGGATGAGTATTAGCCACATATATAATTTGCCTACTCTATGAAAAAATGCTCACCTTTATTTTATCCCAAAGGAGTCCAGAATTCTACATTTTGCAAGGGGGGGGGGAGGGGGTAAATATACCTTTTTCCTCCACACTATATACGCTTTCACCATGTCTCTAAGAAATCAAACAAAAAGGCACCAAAGAAACTGCATAGATCAGTGGTTCTCAACCTTTCTAATGCCGCGACCCCATAATACAGTTCCCCATGCTGTGGTGACCCCCAACCACTTATACATCACCGGGTGCCAGGGGCATGGCCAAGGAAAAGGGGGAAAAAATGGCGGACAGCCTTGTTTGGCGACCCCCGTGAAATGGTCGTTCGACCCCAAATGGGGTCCCGACCCACAGGTTGAGAACCACTGGCACAGATTCTGTTATCGTTCAGTTGCTCTGTTTATACCACTTTTTTTCTGTTTTACAAAATCCACTGCAGTACAGTTGCCAGGATATGAAGCAGCCTTCCAGGTACAGTAGTATGACAAGAAGGGAAACATCCCTTAACTATAATAAGGCACATAAAATAAATAAATAAATAATCTTCCTCCATGTAGTACTGCCACTAAATCAGTGTTTCTCAACCTTGACAATTTTAAGGCATGTGGACTTCAACTCCCAGAATTCCACAGCCAGCAATGCTGGCTGTGGAATTCTGGGAGTTGAAGTCCACATGCCTTAAAATTGTCAAGGTTGAGAAACACTGCACTAAATTATAGTAAAATTCTTTTGGACTCTTTTGCAATCGCTTTAGTTATTCATCCTAAATAACTTAAGTGACATCAGAAACATTTTCCTCTTCATTTCTAGCTCCTTATCAACAAGATAAAAAGAAATGATCTCGAGAACATTTCGTTCTACTGTGTATTTCTGACACCTTAATAAGTTTATGGATACATAATAAGAGGAGCTATCCACTAAAACCACAGTCATAATAAAGGTAGCAGTCCTTGACTCGTGACCACAACTGAGCCCAAAATGTTGGTTGCTAAGTGAAAAGCTGTTAAGTGAATTTTTGCCCCATTTTACGATTTTTTTTTTACCATGGTTGTTAAGTAAATCACTGCAGCTGTTAAGTTAGCAACATGGTTGCTAAGTGAGTCTGGCTTCCCCATTGACTTTGCTTGTCAGAAGGTTGCAAAAGGTGATCAAGTGACCCCAGGACGCTGCAACCGTCATAAATAGGAGTCAGTTGCCAAGCATCAGAATTTGATCATGTGACCACAGCCGTCATAAGCATGATAAAACAGTCATAAGTCACTTTTTTTAGTGTCATTGTAACTTTGAATGGTTACTAAATGAAATGTTGTAAGTCAAGGACTACTTGTAATCCCAAAGCAATGACATTTTAGAAGTCCAATCAGCAGCGATCTCTCAGGTCAATGCCATCAACATAAGCTGACATTCAACGAACCCTTATAAATATTAGAAGAAAGGACTTATTACTATTTCTTCTGCAAATTATTATTTTTATTCTTTTTCAACATACTGTAGCCTTACTGTTTTATTTAAAGAAATAGGCCAGAAATCAGAAACATGTTTTCTACAGAAACATGACTGGTGAGATTATAACGGCATGCTAATTTGGGGGGGGGGGTACTTTTTGAGTTGATCAGACTTTAAAAAGTGAAAGCCTTAACCTTCCACCTGACTTTTAACCTTAATTGAAGCTAGATGTCGATCATTTTATATGCTCTATTTTATGCTGGATGGTTTTGTTTTAGTAATGTTTTCTCAGAATGAATGTTAATCATAATGATTAATATCCCATGATTTTTAATTATTAATATTGCCTCATTTCCAAAATTTATACCATACTATTACTTACATTCCAGAAGCTCCTCTCTTGATTTTGTTAAAAAAGTATCAAGAGTTGTTGTTTCACTCTTTGTCTCAGCTCTGTTGGAGCTTTGACCTCTCCTTCTGGGACTTTGTGCTATAGTTGGCAAACAAGATAAAAAGTCACACCTTTACAAACTCATTAAAAGTTTTTTTTTCTATCTCTCTCTCTCTCTCTCTCTCTCTCTCTCTCTCTCTCTCTCTCTATCTATCTATCTATCTATATATATATATATATATATTACAGCAAAATGAAAAGACTGCCAAGTTTTATACATCTCTACAAGACAGGCAAAAATTTGTACTAGCTGTTGACATGTAGTTTTAGTTCGTCATTCCATATGTGGTTGACATTTGATTTTGATTACATGAGATTTAATCTGATGGGTAGAACCCTCAGCAAATCAGAAGCAGACATAGTTATTGTATGTGTACTAAGAGAATAAAAAACAACCACGCTCAAAGATCACCAAGGGCCATATGGTTCAGAACAACCTGTCACCCACTGCCATGTCAATTGGTGGAATAGTTTCCAATTCAAGCAGCAAGGACCTCACAGTTTAATCCTAAACTACACATATTCTTTTCTATTGGTATTCTGAACCAGCTACTGAATATAATCTACACTCAAGTAAGAATCTCCAGCTCCTTTCAGATCTGGTAGTCCATAGCATTTCAGGAGTGGAATTCTTCTCCCTTCTGCTTCCATTTGCTCTGCATGCCTCCACGGCCACAAAATTGTGGGAGGAGATTTTACATTCACCATCAGACAATCCAAGATTTCCAAGAGCTGGCAGTAGAGAACAGCATTAGCATTGTGAGATGTACAAGATTCTAGCTTTCTAAAGCTCTTAGCTCTAAATTATGGATTTCTAGAGCCTAGAAGAATCCTGTTTAAAGGAAAACAGAGGCAGGGCTGCAACAATCATTATTACAAGCCAGAACTATAGTGCATGAAAATTTCCTACTAAAAAGTAGTAAACATACACAATGGCCCAAAGTGAGTCACTTTTGCCCATCGCTCATGACAACACCACTAATCTGTTTTTCCAACAAGAATGCTTTTTAAAAGCCTTCTTACCACTCTTTTTCTGATGATCTCAACAATTCCATCTAATCTCAATCCAACTAAGTCCGTGAACTTAGTTTCCTTGGCTCTAACATTCTCCCTGGAACCTGGCAGTAGCCATTTAGCATTATTTACTATTCTATTTCAGTATTAATCTCACTAGTGCTCATTAGGCACTGTGGTGGCGCAGTGGTTAAAAATACAGTATTGTAGGCTGACTCTGCCCCCAGCCAGCAGTTCAATCCTGACCGGCTCAAGATTAACTCAGCCTTCCATCCTTCCGAGGTTGGTAAAATGAAGACCCAGATTATCCGGGGCAATATGCTGACTCTGTAAACCGCTTAGAGAGGACTGTGTATAAGTCTAAGTGCTATTGCTATATCTCTTGCCCTGTGGAATGAAAAAGATTGAGGGAAAAGCAACTACAAAAATATAGCATTTTCTCAAGAAACTGGGAGATCGTTTCAACCAACCAATAACTTAACATCTGTAAAGAACAGGTGGTGAGAGATTTACGCCAAGGCCACTAATGAATATTTGTGATTTTAAGAAGGACTACATAACCATTACTCCCTTGTACATTTAGAATGCTGTTTTGGGATGCACAACATTTCTGAAAGCCGAGGACCCAAATACCTCAAGAGTAAAACTTGCCACTCAAAATGTACGGAGTACATTAAATTGGTAGACACAACTGAAAGTGCAGAGGTAGCAAACAAAGGTATCTAATTGTGCTAAGAAAAAGTGTCAGCATAGGGGGTTAAAGCCACACACACAATTTCTCATGGCCAGACCACAGCACAATTACTTCTACTCCACGTCAACAAATGCCCTGTTGAACTTCCTGGAATTTCAGCAGAGGCAGCTATTCCTCAAATTTTAATTGGTGAAGTTCATTGGCAAGTGGAAAGTCACACAATTGGTTAAAAGACTGTACTTACCGCGTTTGCCAAGGCGATTTCTCTGCTCCGAAAAGAAAAAGATATGTCCTACTTAGTTATTTGGGAACAAGATGAACAACTCTCTCAGAATGGACAAGCAACAGATCCTGTGGCTAGCTCTCATTAGGATTTATAGAAGTTTTAAGAAGCGTTACCAATTTGACTTGATTATCCCAATGATTTATTTTAGCGATGTGGAAATTATCGTCACCACACCAGTAAATTTACTTAAATTTCACTATGATTATTGAAACAAAAAAGATCAAAAACTATCAGTTTCAAGTTTTTTATTAATTTTACAATATTACATTTACATATTTGAAAAGTAGCGTGGCGGCTGAGCACAGTAATTCTGTTACATTTGAATATCATCAGTACAAGTCTCAAATTATTACAACAAACTAATTCCCTCTCTTTCCCCCATGATATCTACTGTCATGTTCAAACCAATATAGTTTTTATTCTATTAATCAAACAAAAAATACCTTTCTAATATTCATCAATAATCTTCAGTCTATACATCTTAATTAATTTGACATTCCACCTTTTCGACCAGTGGTTCTCAACCTTTTTAATGCCGCGACCCCCCAACCGGTCGTAAGTCGAGGACTATTCAACTGGTCATAAGTCGAGGACTACTCAACTGGTGCAGCACCGTTTGCAGAATGGGACTTTTGGCGGGCTCAACAGGGCAGAGACAGCCTGGACAATTCCTATTGGCTTTTGAAAGCCAATAGAATTAGACTCTATTCAAGAGAGTCTATTCTTTTGGCTTTCAAAAGCCAATAGAATAAAAGGGAGTAGCACAGCTAAGGAAAAGGAAAACAAAATGGCGGATTGCGTTTGGCGACCCCCGTGAAATGGTCATTTGACCCCAAATGGGGTCCCAACCCACAAGTTGAGAACCACTGTTTTAGACAATAACCTAGTAAGTTTTTCTTAACTTTAATTTGCCACTGATATTTAAGTTTAATGTTTAATCTTTATCATTTCCAGATTTTAAGTGATCCCAATTTCTAAGTCTCCTATCTCACATTTGGAGCTAATAATTTTTTTTCTTTTCTTCCTTTCACTTTCTTCCTTTCTTCCTTTCCAGAAAGAGAAAAAAAAATTGAAAATAAACCAACATTTATACCACAAACCCATATACAAATTTAATTATTAGTACTTATACTTTTAAGTTTTATTAACCTTTGTCTCAACTCATAACAATATCTTAAATTCAAATCTTAATTATTTGTAGACGTTCAGATTACATTTAATATTTAATTTTTCCAAATTTTAATTAAACACAATTCCTTTATCCCAATTGCTCATACATTCTAATATTTAAAATACACACCTTATATATAACTTCTACCCTCTATCTAACCCATCTAATGACAATATTCTTATTTCAACATATTTTTAGATTTTATATGACCAAAATTTTCTTTATCTCAAATCGTTACAATTTCTTGTGTTCAGAATACATATTCTATCTATTTAGATATATTCTATTTTAGATCTCATATATAGATCAGAACCCCAATCTTTTTCAATCTTATTCTAGCCTTTTTCCTCTGCCAGGTCATTTTTTGTATTTTTGCCTTTAAATCATCAAAAAAATCTCCTTGTATTGTTGTGGCTATTGTTTGATGTTGGTAAGAACGTCCAGTTGATGTTTTCTTAAGGAGTTGATTTAGCCGGTAGTCTCTTTATTTTTCCAGTTCGATGCAGTTGTCCCAAAGTATTTATCTTCTCTTTCATCTGTTTTTCTTGTTTATCTTCAAATTCCTTCTGGTTTATAAGAAACGCCCTTTCCTTGTTCTTTATTATCAATTCCTTTTTTGTGTTTTCTACTGTCTGTATTTGTTGAGTATCTAAGTCTTCTGTCATAACATTTGGTTGTTTCACTTTCTCTATAGAATTCTGTATAGATAATTCTTTGATTGAAATCATAGTTTGAGTTTGTATATGCAGAGCTTGCATACGTAGAGTTTGGATCATCGCTTTTAACATACAAAGAATTTGTTCCTGTACTTCCTCTGTAGAAGAAATCCTTTCCTGTTCTCTTTCCATTGCAATATATTAAACTCAAGAGAAAGAAACTGACAGTCAGAAAATCCACCAAATAGGGAGCTGAGCTGAATTTTGCAGATGGTGTTTCAAGGTTATTTTTTTATCTTGTCTATTTTCAAAGCTGTCAACAAGTCTTTTAGAGAATAGCAGGTTACGTCTTAAAGTTAGTTGGATCTTTTTAGGGTTTTTTTTTCCCACTCTATTTTAAGGGGAAAAACCCCCAAATCTTCAATAGTAATTAGAATAAAAGTCAATGAAGAAATATATAGAGAGCAGAAAGTTGCAAATCTTATAATCCACCAATTTTAGGAAATAGGATTCCAATTAAGATCTCAGTATTTTTCTAACGTTTTAAACTCCCAAGTGGTTGATAGCTGCTGTTTCTGGAGGGAGGGCTAGAATCCTCCTTCCCTCACCACAGGGGGGAAAGTACTTTAGCAGCTTATGCAGGTAATTAAATAGTTAGGATGTAAGAGAGGCAAACCTCACCCAGTCCTGTTCATGCTGCTTTGAAGTTGCCAGATGGTAGTGTGACTTCGGCTGTTTGCAGCCTAGGGACGAGCCATATTTCTATGGCCGGTCCTTTCGTTCGCCAGTTTGGAGGGATCGTCTGGTCTGACAGAAGAGTTGCTGCTCTCCCGGGATCCAGCGAAAGCCCCTCCTTGCTGGTCGCCTCTTTGGGGCAACTTTCGGCCCTTTTCAGGACCCCCCAGCAATGCGAAACTGAATGGGGGAGAGAGAGAGCAAGTCTCCCTACCATCCATGGCAGCTGTGTAACAAACCGGAAGTCCAAAAGATCAAAAACTATAAACAAATCGTATATTTGGAATGCATACATACAAGAAATCATGGATCCAATGATAAGCTTAAGACTTTGGGAAAAGTAGAGAAGCCAGAATCAAGTCAAAAGTCAGTCTAAGAGATTATGCAACAAGGAAAAAAAAAGCTTTTCTGGGAAAAAAAGCAATTTAGTTTACCGTCAGTTATACCAGCGGCATATGCACCGTCCCCTTGGGAAAAAAAAGAACAATGCCATCAGTTTTGGCACAAGTGCAAGCAGAATCCAGTTTTATTCCAAGTACATTTTTAGTTTTCTATGCAAGCTAGGATTTCTACTGTAATCTTCAGACTTGCGAGCCAACACAATTGTTACCTGCATCCCACCAATTCTGGATCCCTATAGAACGAGCAAAGATTTGACATGAAATGAATTAAAATATATTACAGAATGCAGAGTGATGTTAGCAGGAAATATTAAGGGAAAAAAAGGTTTTAAAACCCTATGAGGTCAGAAAAATTGTGTATTAGGGCAGAGGTCTCCTAACTTTTTATGCTGGCGGCCCGGAGGGAAAGGAAGCAGCTGGGAAATTTGTGCACGCGCACACACGTGTGCGGACAAGGCCGAGTACGAACGGGGCCACGCACACACACATGGTGCTAGCAGCCCGTTTGCACAGGTACTAGCCGCGATCTCTGCTAGTCCTGCATGCATGTGCAAACGGGCCGCACAATTCGCATGGTGCTGGCGGACATTTGTGCATGCACGCAGGCACTAGCCAGCGCCACTGCTAGCCTCGTGTGCATGTGCAAATGGGTCTGTGCGCTCTAGCATGAATGAAAGTGAGTGCGTGCACACAAGTGCTTGCATTGGCCAGCAGACCACAGCCCAGCAGTGGGCCGCGGACTATAGGTTGGGGACCCCTGTATTAGGAAACATTAGCTGCAAAATATGTAGAAGAATAGAGAAACAAAGGACAGTTGCAAAAATACAATCAGCAATAGAGAAGAACAGATAAGATTAAGAAGGGGAGGAAAACACTTTGCTGAATCATGATGATGAAAGTGTTTGGAAATAGATGAAAAGGACTGGAAAAGAGCCTCTACCAGAGTGAATGAAATTAAAAATAAATATGATAAAAAGATCAGGGATGAAACTAAAGCAGGAGAGGTCTGCATGCAGCAAGATGTGAAGGAACGATACTGAAATGTATGTATAAATATTAGTGTTGAAAAAATGCTGAAAAGAAAGCCGAACAAATATATGGACTCAGGTATAAACCACATCATGCCAGAAATGTTAAAATCACCACACTGTTCTTCCCAAGGTAGGCAGCATTATGCCAGTTGCAAAAAAGAAATAAGAAATAGTAAGCCAAATGAATTAAGACATGGAATAAGAATAAGAAGGAGATATAGCTAAATGTACTTTTCATCAATGCCATTCACTACTTTTTTCCCTCACATCCATACAGAACTTCAAACTTTTGGCTTTTAGACTGCTTACCGCCCTTTCTCTGATGAGCTTAACAATTCCATCCAACCTCAGTCCAAGGTGCGCATTTACACTCTCAATTAACTACAGGTAGTCCTCGATTTACGACCACAGTTGCACCCAAAATTTCTGTTGTTAAATGAGACATTTAAATTGAGATTTGCCCCATTTCTCGACCTTTCTTGCCACAGCTGTTAAGTGAATCACTGCAACTGGTAAGTTAGTAGCCCGGTTATTAAGTGAGTCTGGGTTTCCCCATTGACTTTGCTTGTCAGAAGGACGCAAAAGGGGATCCTGTGACCTTGGGACACAGCCACGGTTATAAATGTGAACCGGTTGCCGAGCAACTGAGTTTTGATCACAGCAACGTGGGGATGCTGCAAAGGTCATAACAGTGAAAAACGGTCAAAAGTCACATTTTTTCAGTACCACTGTAACTTTGAACGGTCACTAAATGAACCGTTGGTAAGTTGAGAACCACCTACTGTATATGCCATAATGCTTAGAAGAGGTGCTTTTATAGTGTAAGCAGCTAGAGAACCTCACCAAATATTTACATGGTCCACCCGTATGATACCACTATGTTGCGAGCTGCACTGCAGTCTTCTGGGTACAATTCAAAGTGCTGGTTGCTACTCTTAAAGGCCTACATGGCACGGGCCCAGTTCACGGGCAAGTGCAGGGGTAGGCAACTGTGGCTCTTTTATGACTCATGGACTTCAACTCCCAGAATTCCTGAGGCAGCCATGCTGAGGGGAAAGGGAGAGGTTTCCAAGCTGAGCCATGCTGGCTCAGGAATTCTGGGAGTTGAAGTCCATGAGTCATAAAAGAGCTGAGGTTGCCTACCCCTGACCTAGTGTGATTTATGTTCATTCCTCCAGATCTGGTAGCATGACTGGGCTCCAGGAAGCATGCTCTCTCTGTTGCAATGCCCACCCTACAGAACAGGCTCCCCTATGAGACAATCAGCCCCGACTCTACTGGCTTTTTGGAAGCCCTTGAAGTCCTGGCTTTCCCCCCTGCTATTAGGATAGGATGCTAGTATAATTGTATGTGATTAGGGGATACTGAAATTTCACTAAGCCTCAATTTGATTTTTTTGGATAGGTAAGTGGCCACATTAATTGATGTATACATAAACAAAGGGTAAATAACTTGTGTGATAAAACATGTGTGTCAGGTTACAATGAAGTGACCCAAAAGTCCTAATTCAGCTTGACTGCCTTTGGGAGAGTTGCTCTTAGTCTAGGCCAGGGGTAGGCAACCTTGGCTCTTTTCTGGCTCGTGGACTTCAGCTCCCAGAATTCCTGAACCAGCATGGTTCAGCTTGGAAACCTCTCCCTTTCCCCTCAGCGTGGCTGGCTCAGGAATTCTGGGAGTTCAAGTCCACCAGTCATAAAAGAGCCAAGGTTGCCTAGCCCTGGTCTAGACGGATTCATAAGGTTGCAGGGAAGAATCAAAGGGGATTGTTATAAACAAAATGCTCATAGCTCATCATTAGCTGTTGTTTTATCTCATGCAATAGTTTTAATGATCCATAAATTTCCAACTCTTCCAACATTTAATGGCACAATGAGGGAAGCTTCCTTCCACCCTTCCTTTCCTTAAGACAAAGCTGTCCTTCAGAAAGAAAGATAATTGTTCCAGGGACTCCTGCTGCCTGCTCTGACTTCAAAAACTCCACCATGTGCAAAGAATACCCATCACTCTGACTTGCTCTAAATACTCACTAGTTTTTCCTACAGCTGCTGGGCATGCCTCTTCTACCATGGGCATCTTCAATGGGAGTGCAAAAATGCCGACATTACCTAAAGGTACATAAGCAAAGACGACAAAAGCCAGGAATCTTGTCAAAAGGATCCCTCCGAGGAGGTAGATAACAAGGAAACAAGGAACAAAAGAAAAATGTTGCCGGAAGCAAAGGAAGGAGGCTGGGTGCTGAGCACAAGGTAATTCCATCAATCTCATCAGCAGTTACTGGAGTTGTGAGTCAACAAACCAGGGTATTTGAAGGGTTAGAAGGGGTCCTGGAGCCCACCCATTCTTTTAATCATCCCTGAATATGAACTTGGTGGCGTCTGCCCCTCTATTTAGTTCGTGGCAGCTTAGTTGAGAAGGATGTGGATGACTTTGAGTATAAGAGTGAGTAAATGTACATGGCAACCAAAAAAATTCTCCCCGCACTTTAAATTCATTGGTTCTCTGTGAATTCAAGAAGAACTTGACGTTCCTCAGCATTTCACTCATTTGAAAGTGATCCTTATGTTCCTTACTATTTCTCTGCTCTTGACTAGGTTTGTCTTGTATGCCCTAGCAGTTCCTGTCTGGAAAACACAGGTAGAAAGGTAGGGGGGCTTACAAGGTCTCAACCAAGTGTACGTGTGCAAGTGAGTAACCATAAGCTGAACTTAGGAGCATGTAGAACATCTACAGAAAGTGTCTGACAAGGAATCTCTCATCTTTTAAGGATCTTTTACCTCTATAACCTCTTTAAAGGTAAATGTTTCCCTGTCCAGTCATCTCCGACTCTAGAGAGTGAACTAATTTGTTTCCTGGCCGAGGGAGCCAGTGTTGTCCTAAGACATTTCCGTGTTCATGTAGTCAGCATGACTTAATTCTCACTAACAGAGACGAAATGATAGAAGGTGTTGAAACCACAGGAACCGGGGGGGGGGGGAGGGATCAAGCAATATTGAAATTCAACATTATGCAAGCACAAGCAATAGAACACAGTCAAACTAGAGTCTTGGACTTTAAGAGAGCTAATTTCAACAAACTTAGAGAGAGCTTGGGAAGGATTCCATAGATGAGAATCCTCAAGGGGAAAACAACTCAAGAAGCTTGGGAAATTTTGAAAAGTGAAATTATGAAAGACCAGTCTAGCACGATACCAATGAAGAAGAAAAATAAAGTTCTCAAAAGAAACCAGCATGGCTGCATAAAGAACTCTCTGATAAACTGAAAGACAAAAAGGACAAGTATAAAAAGTGGAAAGAGGGGCACATAACTAAGGCAAATAGCCCAAGCCTGCAAAGATGAAATGAGGAATGCTAAGGCTCAAAATGAACTAAGGCTTGCAACAAAAGTCAAAAATAACAAAAAACTTTGAATTGGATATGTCTAGTTTAACGAAGAGAAGGACGAGGGGGGACATGATAGCAGTGTTCCAATATCTCAGGGGCTGCCACAGAGAAGAGGGACTCAAGCTATTCTCCAAAGCGCCTGAAGGCAGGACAAGAAGCAACATGACTCTGGGACACATCAACGGTCTTAAGTATGAATCAGTTGGCAAGCATCCGAATTTTGATCACATGATCATAGGGATGTATGGCTGTAACCGTGAAAAGCGGTCACGAGTCATGATTTTTTTCAGTACCATTATAACTTTGAACGGTCACTAAATGAACTATTGTAAGTTGACGACTAACTGTATTTGCTCCTGTAAAAACAGTCTGACAAGTAGAAGTCGTGTGTGTGCTGATTTCTCACTTACTAGATCTATATTCTTTTGGTTGTGGTGTAAGAGCTTCTGATTTGGGCCCTTCTGAAAGAAAAAGACAAAGAGACATAAATAAGACAGTAGGCAAATCAGAGAAATCGTGGCAGGGTAGCCTCTCTGCATTTAGCATGGAATTGTCCTATTCCAATTCTTTAAACAGATTTACGGGTAACATTTGGGATTCTTCTGACTTATCTGGGACAAAAAAAGTTCCTTTTATGCACAGGGGAAACAAAGTCCAAAAAGTGCTCCCCTCCCTCTGAATGATGACTTCTGTCAATTCCCTCTTCCTCCAACATCCCCCATGCAATCTCAGGAAGCATCTAAATTCTTCTGGCAGCAAATTTTTAACTCTCACTTTCAATAGCCTGCACTCCACCCATGACTATTTACAACCCACCTGCATCTTCCATAGCTGACATTTGTCTATGGAGATTCTCAGTCATCCAGGTCATGGTTGTCCCAAAGGTGTTTTTTCAAAAGGCAACTGGACTTTCTTTGTTTTTCCTTGAACACGTTTCACTTCTCATCTAAGAAGCTTCCTCAGTCAGAACTGAAGAAGCTTCTTGGATGACAAAGTCCAGTTGCCTTTTGAAAAAGCACCTTTGGGATAGCTGACATTTCTTTCCTTTCTCAGAATAACACTAATTTAACAGAACTAAGCTTTATTTATACTATCTTTAGTTAAGTTTAGATCTCATCCTGAAGTTTGTTTATTCATGTCAGAAGCATCACAATTTTAAGGCATACATAACATTTAAAATATAAAATGCAAGATTTAAAATATGTATAAGTTAAATGGATCTTGCCCAGAAACTAGCAACATTATCCTGAAATTCATGGCAGCGCACAACAGTCCATCTAGAAATTTTACTCTACTGCTACTACTCTTTGCTACCCCAGAGGCAGGGAAGGATTTGATTGCACTATTGCAGAGGTCCCCAACGTTTTGGACACCAGGGACAGGTTCCATGGAGAGACGTTTTTCTGTGGACCGGAGGGGGCGTGGTTTTGTGTGCTGCCTGCATCCCATAGATAGGGCTTTGCTTGTTTGTGCAGACCAGTTGCTGGCACGCAGCGGCCCGGTACTGGTCCATGGACCTGGGGTTGGGGACCCCTGCACTATTGGGCTGGTTGGTAGCCTAGCCTGGGAGCCTTTTACTCCAATGGCCAAAACTAACATTTCTACATAGTGTCTAAAGTTATGTGGGGGCTCCAGAACCACATTCATAGATCACTTTAAGCTGGTATGAAGTGAGCATGTGTTTTTCAGAACTACTCTGTACTATGTATGTATACCCACCGCAGTCTTCTCCTCAGGTGAAATATGGGAACCCAAGAACCATGACCTTACTGAAAGATAGGAGCCAAACGCTCTCATCCCAAGGCAAAAAAGGAATTTAGCGCTAATTCAAAGTAATGTTATACAGTTAAATGCTGTAGAAAGACCATAGCTACCTTGTCCACTTGCAAACATGGTTCTCCATGATTAACAATAGTTTAGCAATATAGGTGGTCCTCAACTTCTGACTACAACTGAGCCCAACATTTTTTTGTGGCCAAGTGAGACATTTGTTAAGTGAGTTTTGCCCCGTTTTACGACCTTTCTTGCCACAGTCATTAAGTGAATCACTGCAGCTGTTGAGATGTAACATGGTTAAGGAAATTGGGTTTCCCCATTGACTTTGCTCGTCAGAAGGTCGCAAAAGGTGATCACATGGTCCCAGGACACTGCAACCGTCATAAATATGAATCAGTTGCCAAGCATCTGAATTTTGATCACGTGACCATGGGGATGCTGCAATGGTTGAAAGTGTGAAAAATGGTCATAAGTCACTTTTTTCAATGCCATTGTAACGCTGAATGGTCACTAATGAACCGTTGTAAGTCGAGGACTATCTGTACTATCTCACAAATCTTATTAACTAAAGTCAGTTAATTTTTAACATTCCAATAGGTTAGCAATACAGCTGGAATAAAATATGCAAACTGTCTGTGTGTGTGTGTGTGTGTGTGTGTGTGTGTGTGTGTGTGTGGCTTTTTTTGGTGTGTGTGGCTTTTTTTGTCATGGAACACCCAGAACGGAGTTCCGGCACCTGTTTTGGATGGAACCTTGTAGGGTAGGCAAGGCGGATTGTTTGACATGTGTGAGTTCCGACACCTTTCCCCCCCCCCCAAAAAAGAGCACTGTATATATGTATGTATATGTGTATATTCCCATACGGTTTGCATATTATGTATACCAGTAAGTAAATGAATAAATAAAAGCACCTTTTTTTTTCTGTTCCAGAGGTACACCCAAAGATCGTTTTGTAAGTTCTTTGAGGTTAAAGGCTTTCTGATAAACAGTGCCTAGCAGGTTTTGATCCAACTCTATTCTGGGAACAAACACATCAGTGAAGGATACCTCCCGTAGTTTTGTTGCTCTCTGAAATAAAGTAATAAGATATTGTGATAATCTGAACCAACAAAGAGCTCTACTTCCTTCCACAGTGCTCGACACATTATATAGTGGAGTATTTATTAAATGACTAAACATACATCCTGCATTTTCCTTTTTTTAAACAGACCCCAGGCAGGGAAAGGCATACCCCTCTCAAATGTCAGTGTTTATTAATTCTAGGAGTTGAAAACTAACAACACCCAGGGAGCATCAGGTTGGGTGGGTTAAACTAGGACTCCACCATTATGTATTCTTAGTTTAAAGACACTAAAATGAGCATCCCCTCTCTGTGCAATTTTCTGTGCAACTCTTTGAATTATCAGCAAAAGGGGAATTTTGAGAGTCCAACATCTGTAGGACAAGCAGCTCAGGAAAGATTTCACTGGAGAAAGTGCCTCCCCAATTGGAGAAATTAGGGAGTCCTTTAATCACTGTTTAGAAGAGTTTCTCCCAACGGAACATTACCTTTAAAAATGTGATGTCATCCATCTCTGTCAAGGTCATTTCAATTTCATCTCTCTCCCTCTGGATTTCATTCTTCTTCTTACCCAGGACTGTATGGACGTATTCAAATTTATCGAGGACTCTTTTTTCTTCTGCTTTGATTGTCTTCCAAGAATCCTTTTCTTCTTCATGAATTAAGGCTACTATTTCTAGGAATTCTGATTTCAGCAAATCCAGCTTCCGACTAGTGGTATTCTGTAGGGGAAATATCATCAAAATAAAACATGATTTGGAAATGAAGTAATGCAACATTACTTATTAAGAGGCTGAAAAATGGAGAAGTTGGGAGACCTTTGGAGGAAGAACTGGTGGACTGAATATGGAGCTGACAACCACAACTAAGAATAAACAGTTGGTGAACAGCTGCCCAGAGTCACTTGACAGTGAGATGGGCGGTGTATATATATATATATATATATATATATATATATATATATATAATAAATACATAAAAATAAAATAGACCAGCTCTTTGAACCTCTTCAAACAAAGAGAAGATGGGAGATCGCCCAATATTGCTTCAGTTACTCCTCATGAGGAGACCACAAGACAGTAGTCTTCTATAGGCTTTGAGCACATGGAGATGAGGAAATAGCCATCTTGCTCAAACTATAGTTAGCATCTTTAAAAGGACACTAAGTTCACATACAGTACTTCCTTTTCTAATCATATTCAGAAATTGCTTGTTAACTACTTTTCAGCTATTAGAAATGTTTGAATTGACAAGTCTGAAAACATGAGCAATTCTGTTTCCAGTCCTTAAGTAAACCAAATTTTAACTAGAAGATTAAGAAAAGCAGGATAAAAATCTAATAAATAAATAAAATAAACTTTTAAAAAATGCATTGAACAGCAAAAAGCTAACTAAGACTTTAACATTAGAAAGTTATAAACAGCTTAAGGGTCCAGATAGATTTGAAATAAGATATGGGAATTATAAAGAATCCTTCCTGTGGAGTCTTTGGACTTGTTTTAAATAATCTAAAAAATTAGACAGCAGAGAGAACTAAAGATTTTAATTAAAGCAGAATACATCAACCTGATTAGCAGATACAGAACGAAGCAAAATATTATAACACTGGAAATACCGAAGAATATTTTTGAAAAATGGAACCAGAAGTTAATATCAACAGCGACAATGGAGAAATTTACTTCTATCGCTAGACTGTGTCCAAAAGTTATTTTGGAAGAAATGGCAAAAGAGAAAGACATTTTCTCTGACAAAAATGAGACAGAATTGACTAAAAGTGGATCTATAAATGACAGACTACAAGACTGACATGGCAAAAGATGTCTCACTGGACATATAAATCAGTTAATGCTTTTAAAAACCGGAAAAGGATTACAAATAATAAGCCAACAGAGCGACCTGCATAATTCACATATATTGGATTTACAAAAGAGATTTGTTACAGCTTGGATGAATCTTATGAGAAGGGGCAAAAAAATAAATTAAAAGAAATCAAGTTCTACAACATTACTTGACTGGATGAAAGATTAAGATTGTTAGATCTTGTAAAAGGAAGAAGTTGGTTTATTGGATAGGATGAATTCAATATAGGATGAACTGAATCTTCCTTAGCAAATAACTGTAACTGGCTGATCTAGAAAGTTAAGTGGAATAGAATAGGCCAGGGGTAGGCAACCTTGGCTCTTTTATGACTCATGGACTTCAACTCCCAGAATTCCTGAGCCAGCATGGCTCAGCTTGGAAACCTCTCCGTTTCCCCTCAGCATGGCTGTCTCAGGAATTCTGGGAGTTGAAGTCCACAAGTCATAAAAGAGCCAAGGTTGCCTACCCCTGGGATAGGGTTAGCATTTGAAAGTGAAGTCACCAGAAACAGACTAGATGGCAAAGTTGAAACAAACATTCCAAGGAAAGGCAAGGGCAGACTAATTCTTCACCAGGTGAGAAACCTACATACAAGTAGTCCTCGACTTACAACAGTTCATTTAGTGACCATTCAAAAATTGAAACGGCACTCAAAAAAGCGACATCATCAGTTTTCACACTTACGACTGTTGTAGCATCCCCATGGTCATGTGATCAAAGATCAGACCTTTGGCAATTGACTCATATTTATGGTGGTTATAGTGTCCCGGAATCATGTGATCCCCTTTTGCCACCTTCAGATTCACTTAACAACATTTTGACTAATTTAACAACTACTGTGAATCACTTAACAACTGTGGCAAGAAAGGTCGTAAAATGGGGCAAACTCACTTAACAACAGAAATTTTGGGCTCAATTGTGGCTGTTTAAGTCGAGGGCTACCAATAGTGTGTACATGACATCGTGAGTCAATTCAAAGGAGGCATTTTTTTATACTACAACTCAGTCTTAAAATGTTTCAAAAGAATTGTAACTTCGTTTTTTTTTCCTATTTGTCTCCCAGCTCCCTAATTCATATATTACAAAATTCAAGTAAATGGTGACAGCAGAAGGCAATCTTTGAAATAGCAAAGCCCCAAGCCCTTTGACACAAATCTCTCTCTCTCTCTCTCTCACACACACACACACACGTGCACACACACACACACACACACACACACACACACACACACAATCTCAATAAGCACAATGCATAACTCCAAAGTGAGGGCCTATATCATGAAACCGGGGTCAGCCCCCTTGCATTACCACCTCCTGATTGCAAAGAGAAGTGAACTTCCATTTAAAAAAGAATTCTTTCCTTACGCTGAGTTGCTTTTGCTGCGCTCGTACTTGTTCCAAGGACTTAGCAGTCTTGTCACTGAGGGCACAGAGTTCTGCTAATCTCTTCTTCAGCTGTAACTATAAGGGAACAAAAAAGATTAAAAACAACATCTGTGCCAGCTACTAAGGAAACAAAACCACTGGTAGGGAATATAGTTTTGCTTCAGGATTCTGATTAAAAGGGACACATCTGCAGTCACAACTTCAAAAAAAAATGAGATTTTTTTTTTTAAAACAAGGTTTTTAATGTTGTGCAGAATGGGGGGGGGGAAATGGTGGACCAAAGATGGAGGTGACAACTATGTAGATAAATGTAGTTTCAATCCAGTACACAAAAAACAATCAGAATGAAATAAAATAACAATACCAACGGTGTAAACATTATTGTAAAAGTCTTTTTTAAAACATAAAATAAGTTGTTATCAATCCCGCTTCAGAGGTTTAGGGATGTTAGCTACTGAAACCCACCACTTAGCAACACATGACAGAAGCTACCTAATTTGAAGGAAGGTGGTTGACATAAAATTCAGTGACTTGGAGCATGTAGGAAAAAGAGAAATATACGCATCCTTTGGCTGTGAAGAGAAAGTTGAGCAACACAGAGTAACAGATGCCATATATAGCATATATGGCAGTGGTTTTGAAACTGTTTGACCCTATTACCTCTTTTTCTGGTCTTGCATGTCAACCTTCCTGCCCCAAAATCCAAACCCACATTTTTTTTACGCAAGTATTAATTTTTATTATGGTTGCTAGGAGGGTCAGCAAGCTGTTTAGACTGGATTTGGCATTTTTACTCACCTACTGAGTCCTTCCCAAGGACCTGGGATAGGCAGGTTGTTTGATGGTGTTAAAGGTAGCATTACTATTTATTTCAGCAACAACAGCAGCCCCATACTGGATCTTTGACTCATCAATAAGCGATTACAAATTGCTGTTACCCTAGGGCAGGGGTAGGCAACCTTGGCTCTTTTATGACTCGTGGACTTCAACTCCCAGAATTCCTGCTGGCTCAGGAATTCTGGGAGTTGAAGTCCACAAGAGCCAAGGTTGCCTACCCCTGCCCTAGGGTGTGCCCAAATTACCCCCCCTGGAGATAATTACCCCCAGTTTAAGAACCACTGCTGTGGGGGTGAAATTCCGATATAGACCTACTGAAAGTGGAACAGAACAGAAGGTAGAATAGGCTGAACCTGATTGGAAGGAAGAAATAAGTAACCGGATACAATAGGCCAATTGCTATCTGGCACGTTCCACTTTGTTGTTAAATGGGTCTAAGATCAGGCTAATATCCTATATCTAAAAGCCGTTCCCTAATTTTTTCTTAACCTGGATGCTTTAATCATCAGATAAATGGGGGATTATTTTGGAACAATGTCCTCACACTTCAAGCAGACTTGGAACGTTGGGGGAAAATGTCCACTTAATACATAGGGCTCTTCGCTCAGCCCCTACTGCTGGAAAATATATATCCGCTGGTCTCAGTGGTAAAAAGAGATCCACGGATGTACAGAGAACACTGTTCTGCTTTATCTTGCAGGCAGATTGTGAAAGAACAGAAACAGACAAAGGTCATCTGGACAATTCTCCACTGATGAAAAACTGCTATTAGTGGGGCTGCCTTTGAATACTTGTCCATCATAAATAAGCTGATCAGATTGCAGAGAAAAACTCACATGCTGAGCGTTCCAAAACATAGTTCTCAACATAAAACAAGACCTATGAAGACATGATAGCACTGTTCCAATATTTGAGGGGCTGCCACAAAGAAGAGGGGGTCAACTTATTCTCTAAAGCACCAGAAGGCAAGATAAAAAACAATGGATGGAAACTAATCAAGGGGAGAAGCAACCTGGAATTAAGGAGAAACTTTCTAGTAGTGAGGACAACTAACTAATGGAACAGCTTGCCTTCAGAAGTAGTAAGCGCTTCATCATCACTGGAGGCTTTTAAAAAGAGACTGGACAGCCCTCTTTGTCTGAAATGGTATAGGAGCTCCTGTTTGTGCAGGGGGTTGGACTAGAAGACCTCCAAGGTCCCTTCCAACTCTGTTATTCTATTATCTTTATAAATTCAAGAAACATTTAGCAATAGAAGCTGCAGCAAAAGCATTTGCTCTCACCCTAGACCAGTGTTTCTCAACCTTGACAATTTTAAGGCATGTGGACTTCAACTCCCAGAATTCCACAGCCAGCATTGCTGGCTGTGGAATTCTGGGAGTTGAAGTCCACATGCCTTAAAATTGTCAAGGTTGAGAAGCACTGCCCTAGACGAAATATAGCATGAAACTGCTTCTCACTGACATACACGTATCAGAGAGAAACACAGTCACTTTCTTCCCCTGTGCATATTGATCTATATTTCATAATTGGCTGTAAGAGTCAAAGGCTAAGGTTTTCTATACAGAGAGGGAGCTTTTGTCAGATTCATCTTCCACAAGATTCCTATAGCAGAGCAAAAAAACACAAACCTTCCCTATTCAGTCCCCCCCCCCCCCCGACTTAAGTTTTTACATTCTTTTAAAGATTCTGTATGGATTTAAAGTCACTGAAAGTTTTTGTGAACGCAGCGGGATACAAAGCCAGTAAACAAGTCTGACCGGTCAAAGTTAGAATGGCATCAAAGTGACATGACCATTTTTCACACTTCTGACTACTGCAGAATCTCCACGGTCACATGATCAAAATTCAGATGCTTGGCAACTGACATGTAATTGTGACAGTTGCAGTGGTTCATATTTATGACAATTGCAGTGTCCTGTGGTCATGCGATCATCTTTTGCAACCTTCTGGCAAGCAAAGTCAATGGGGAATCCAGATTCATTTAACAACCATGTTATTAACTTAACAAATGCAATGATTTACTGTGCAAGAGAAATTGTAAAACAGGGCAAAGCTCACTTAACAAATGTTTCATTTGGCAACATAAATTTGGGGCTCAATTCTGGCAGCAATTCATCTCACAACAAAATACAAAGTATTAAGAAAGCCTGGACAACTTCCATGAAATCTAACAAATCTAAGATTTACAAGGGAAAAAAAGTAATGCCCAGAACAAAACTCAGACTTGCTTTGTTGTTGTTAATTGCGAAGTCGTGTCCGACCCATCGCGACCCCATGGACAATGTTCCTCCAGGTCTTCCTGTCCTCTACCATCTTCTGGAGTCCATTTAAATTCACACCTACTGCTTCAGTGACTCCATCCAGCCATCTCATTCTCTGTCGTCCCCTTCTTCTATTGCCCTCAATCTTTCCCAGCATTAGGCTCTTCTCCAGTGAATCCTTCCTTCTCATTAGGTGGCCAAAGTACTTGAGTTTCAACTTCAGGATCTTGCTACAACAGGCTAAAATAGTTGTACTGATAAAAAAATTTAAAAGTCAGAAAAGTTGCCTAAAACAGGGAATCAGTAGGCCCAGGGAACATATAAGCGTCCAGTAATAACAGGTTTGGTACAACCTGATTATTGAAAATATATTTAGGGTATCACAAAAGTAATGACATTCATATGATTGTATATTTTGTGTTATTTACTTTTACCATGGATAAGTAGGAAAACTAAAGGGAGCCTGCACCATATGTCAGAGTAACTTAGCTGATGTTGTCTTTGCATTTGGTGCTCTTTTCTAGACAGTTTTATTTTAGGCCAGCTGTGAAATTCACAGACTTTGTCTTTCATTGCAAAATAAGCTTATGTGTTGTTATCCTGTTGACATCTGCCAGCTGTGGAGGAAGGCTCTTTCTGCCTCGAGCAGCCAATGCAGGTTTCAGCATGCCTTCTATCCTGTCCCTTGGGTGTACATCTTTGCTATCAATGGCTGCCATGTACATGGTTAAATGCAAGACAGCTCTCCATATACGTCTGTCATATCCATATACAGAGTAGTTGAACACAAATTGTAACCAGGGGTGTCAAACTGCCGGCAGCTGGATGCGTCACGTGGAAGCTGTGCTCACCCCATTGCCGGCAATGGCAAAACCGTCCCAACAACGTGATGTGGCGAGTTTGACATGTCTGCTTAGGCAAATAGCCAACCCTGTGACCTTGAGCCAGTCACTCACTCTCAGCCCTAGGAAGGAGGCAAGAGCAAACCACTTTCCAAAAAACCTTTCCAAGGAAACTGCAGAGGCTTATCCAGACAGCTTCCAGGAGCCAAAACTATTTCTCACAAATGAAGATGAATATACATGTCCCTAGATAATATTACAGGATCCAAACTGAGTCAATAACAGGGACCAGAAGTTTAGTCTTCCGAGCTTTTGGACTCATGCTGGAGGCCATCCATGACGATGGGATCCAGCACGAGTCCAAAAGCTCAGAAAATCCAGAAAACTAAACGTCTGGTACTGGTGACCAATCCAGATTGGATCCTGAAAAACTATTTCTTTAGATCAGGGAAGGGCAATTAGTTTTTCCAAGGGGCCATATGTGAAATTGGGATTGTTGTAGAGCAGTGGTTCTCAACCTTCCTAATGCCGCAACCCTTTAATACAGTTCCTCATGTTGTGGTGACCCCCAACCCCCCATCCAGCTGGCCGGGGGATATCAAAAACTTGACCAAAAAAAAAGGGGGGGGAAAAATGGGTAAGTATAGGTAGTCCTCGACTTACAACAATTCACTTAGTGATTGTTAGAAGTTACAACAGCACTGAAAAAGCGAATTATGATCATTTTTCACACTTAGGATTGTTGAAGCATCCCCAGGGTCATGTGATTTACATTTGGATGCTTGACAACTGATTCATACTTATGACATTCAGTGTCCCAGGGTCACGTGATCAATGGCCAGGGGGCGTGGCCAGCTGATCACTCAAGTTGCAGAGTGCCTGTGGAGGGGAATCTGTGGGTCTCTGGGATGGACTGGGGTGGGTGCCTGCTTTCCTTCCCTCCCCTTGTCCCTTTCTTCCTTCTTTTCTTCCTTTCCTTCACCTCCCTTAGTCTCTTCCTCCTTCCCTCCCTCTCTCCCATTGTCCCTTCCTTCCTTCTTTCCTTCCTTTCAACTCCTTCTTAGTCCCTTCCTCCTTCCCTCTCTCTCCCATTGTCCCTTCTTTCCTTCCTTTCCTTCCCCTCCTTCTTAGTCTCTTCCTCCTTCCCACCCTCTCCCATTGTCCCTTCCTTCCTTCCTTTCCTTCCCCTCCCTTAGTCTCTTCCTCCTTCCCTCCCTCTCTCCCATTGTCCCTTCCTTCTTTCCTTCCTTTCCTTCCCCTCCCTCTTAGTCACTTCCTCCTTCCCTCCCTCTCTCCCCTTGTCCCTTCCTTCCTTCCCTTTGTCCCTTCCTTCCTTCCCTCTCTCATTGTTCCTTACTTCCCTCCCCTTCCTTCCTCCCCTCCTCCGTGCCCAGGAAGGGACAAGGGGAGGGGGGCTAGGCTGCCAGCGTGGCTGGGGGCTTTGCTGCCGGCAAACCTGCCTGTGCACAGGCAGAGACAGAGGAGAGCTCCGCTCAGCTCACTTGCTCAGCTTCGCCGAAAGACATGCCACTTGCTAAATTAACAGAAGTTCCCAGGATCAGCGCCGGGCTACAGCTGATTCGCGCTTCTGCTAAATTAGCAAGTGGCATGTTTTCTAGCAAAGCTCCAGCAAGTTTACTGGGCAGGAGCCAAGGAGAGCAGCTACAGCTGCAGAAGCGTAGAGGCTCGCCCCGATCCTGGACAAGAGGGAAGGAAGGAAGGACGGAAGGGACAAGGGGAAAGAGGGAGGGAAGGAGGGACAAAGAGGGAGGCGAAAGGAAGGAAGGGAGGGAGGGAGGGAGGGAGGAACAATGGGAGAGGGAGGGAAGGAGGAAGAGACCAAGAGGGAGGGAAGGAAAGGAAGTTCCAGCCAGCAGAGGCTTGGCAGCCCGGTTGCCGAGGAACAGAAGAGCGCAAAGCCAAGGAGAAGAAGGTGGTGGTTTCCTCCCAAAGGGGGCTCCTTTTCTCCACCCCTTCCCTGGGTTTGTGGGGAATTTCTCGTCACCAACGCTGACAGGTGCTCCTTTGAGCCCACCGCAAGCTTTCTCGCCCCCTTTGCTTCTCCCCCCTCCCCCGCTTTCGTGAGGATTGTGGCGCCCTTGGGAAGCCGACTGTGCTTTGAAGCTTAGGAGAGGAGAACGAGTCCCTTCCTCCTTCCCTCCCTCTCTCCCTGTCAAGCACTGGCGGGCTCAACATGAACGGGCGGAGGAGGAGATGAGGACGGGCGGGGTGGCAAAGGAGACCGGCAGCCATTGCCAGACCTCCCGGCTGACAAGCACAGCTGACGGGCGCAGGAGTTGGGTGCTGTGGCGGCCTCCCCTTTACTGACCTGCGTGCACGAGAAGAAGTCAATCCAGTTGCTGCACAATGAGTCTCTGGGGAGGGCGAGGCCTTGCTCTGCGCCTGTGCTCTTCATGCGCCCCTTGCAGGGCACATTTGGTAGACTTCGTGCAGACTGCCGCCAAGCAGCATATTTTCCACAAACAAGTGAGGTGGAGCAGAGGGGGGGGGGGGAGAAGGCGGTTGACAAGCCCTGCCTAAGACCATCGGAAATATGTGTTTTCCAATGGACTTAGGCGACCCCTGTGAAAGGCTTGTGTGATCCCCAAAAGGGTTGCGACCCACAGGTTGAGAACCGCTGTTATAGAGGATTGAACCAATGGGGCTGGTACTGTTTCGGGCAGCTGGATGTGGCCCACGGTGGCTCAAAGTCACCCATGCTGGCTCAGGAATTCTGGGAGTTGAAGTCCACTAATCATAAAAGAGCCAAGGTTGCCTACCCCTGCCCTAGAAGCATTCAGGGTTGGGTCAATGTCCCAAAGATGCTTTTTCAAAAGGCAACCAACTGGACTGTTTTTTCAAAAGGCCAGCTGGCTTTTGAAAAAGCACTTTTTGGACAACCACGACCTGGATGACTTGAGAATTTCCATAGACATTTGGCTGAGATCAATGTGTCTCCCCAGGCCTAACAAGACAACATAGCCACCATCCACTCCCATCCACTCCTTTCTCACCTTCTTTGTTTCCTTGGCCTCTTGTAACAGGCTAGTTGAGCAGGTCTTGTGAGAAACCAGGCAAAAACAGCAGATGGAAACTCTGTGGTCCTGGCAGAAGACCTCCAGGAGCTTGTTATGCGTCTGACACTTCTTCTGCTGAAGTTCCTTCACAGGTGGAGACAACTGGTGGGTCTTAAACGCTGGGCTCTCCAGGTGGGGCCTCAGGTGTTCCTGGCAAAAGGAAGCCATGCAGGTGAGGCAGGTCTTGGCCGCCACGACCACCAAGCAACTGTCGCAGGCCACTGGAGAGGGAGCCCTCGGCTTGGGCACGCTGCTGTCCGCCTTCTTCTGCTTCTCCTCGCATGTCCCTTTGGAGGGGCCATCTTGGCTGACCTGAAATTGCTCCACCACCTTGCAAAGCACCGTGTTTTTCTTCAAGTCAGGACGAATTTCGAAAGAAGCCCTGCACTGGGGACAGCTGAAGTTTTCCTCGATGTCCATCCAGGTCATCTCCAGGCAAGGCAGGCAAAAATTATGGCCGCAGGGCGTAGTGACCGGCGTCTGAAAAATACATAGGCAGATGGCGCAAGTCAGTTCGTCTTCCAGCCCGAACATAGACAACGCATCGACCAAGCTAGCCATGGCTGCGTTGCCAGAGGGAAGTCGGCGCTTTATATATATAGATAGATTTTCCGCTAAGGAAAAGAAACCGAAACTTTGGGAACAGGCGTTGAATGGATTTCCTAGAAATCACGTGGGTGGGTGGGCGGAGACGCTTGTGCACAACGAAGGGAGTCTGCGGATAAGCCTTCGTGGAAAGGAAGGGAGGTTCTCCCAAATTGCCCGAATGTGATCTAATCACACCAGCAAGGGCAGGGAGGGTTTGCTTGCTGTTTCTGCTTCCCGATCCCCGTTCTTTCCCCCTTGCATGCTTAGAAGCGACAGGCTTGCTGCTCAGTACCGCTGGCTTTGCTGCCCCGGGAAACAGCCCCGTCCGTTTTTTAAACTTTGCAGTTCATATATAGAGCGAGTTGGCTTGCTTCCGATGGAGTTGGCTTGAAGTCGGGAGCGCTCGTTCCCCCAGAAGTGCATAGAAAGCGCAAACGACCTCGACGGGAAGTTTCATAAGAAAAAAAAATGTTGTTGAATGCAATGGGGCGTCATCCCTGCGATGGCGGAAACGGCCCTGGATAAAAGTACCAGATGCCTCTTTGGGGCGTGAATGGGAGGACGCATTAAATGCCCCCTCCCCGGTGATGCCTTGATTGTTTATAAGTGGCAAAACCGGAAAGTTAAACTCATTCGCTTCCATACCAGGAAACAAGAACTATTTTTTTCTATCGGTCGAGGAAATATATGTTTTTCTGATTAAATGCATGTCCGGTATGCAAGATGCAGAGGAGAGTTTTGGTAACAGATTGCCTGGGATGAGCAATACCGCTTAGATTTAGAGCCAGTTATTTCCTGGTCAAGTCAATCAACCAACACATTCAGCTTCTAATAATTAGGGTGGCCCAGTCCTTTCCTGTTACGTACCAGATATTGAATGAGAATTGTAAAAAAGCCAACAGATGATGGTCAACAAGATGGCTGTTTATTATTTCTGAAATTGGAGAAAGTAAACCTATTAATACTAATTCTTGGAAACCTGTGTGGAAAACAGCGTGGCTAGTCTGCTCTTGCCTCATTTATGGGCTCCGGGACATAGGAGGAAGCAGAAAGCTGATTAGGCTTAACTTTGACCTGATATTCTAAGTCACATTGTGTGTATTTAGGCAAAGAAAAGATGCTTGCATGTGCAAAATCGACATGAGCTCTTCCGCTTTCTCAAATTGGCTGAATGTAACTTTTGCATCAGGAGGGCTGCAGAATCTTTCTCTGGAATCTCCCCAGTGAACTTTAAAAATCCTTTTCTAAGTAATAAAGAGTTGCTGTTCTGCAGGGGTTAACAAAGCAGTTAAAGAGACCAAAGTTGTGACTGGGAATAAGGGAACTCCGTATGCACTTATTTGTTCTGCTTCAAGCATACTTGCTGATAGTAAGAAAGCAGCAGCTTCAGCAAACCCTGGATAAAGCACATTATCTGGTTCCCTTTCAGTCAGGATTCAGGCCTAAACATGGGATGTATGTATGTATTCATTCATTCATTCCATGGGGTGGAAATGGCATTGTTTGTGTGTTTGGGTGATCTCTGGCAGGAGCAGATTGAGGATAGTGCATCACTTCTAGCTCTACCTGACCTCTCAGCAGCTTTTGATATCACTTATGGTATCCTTCTGGATCAGCTCCCAGGATTGGAAGTGGGTGGCACAGTATTGTGCTGGTTCTTTTCCTTCTTCTGGACTGATACTAGTCAATGTTGATCAGGAGATCCTGCCTTCAGCTCCTACCCCCTGGGTGCCGCAGGGTTTGGTGTTCTCTCACTCCTGTTTACCCTCTACATCAGTGGTTCTCAACTTTTTTAATGCCGCGACCCCCAACCGGTCGTAAGTCGAGGACTACTCAACCGGTCGTAAGTCGAGGACTACTCAACTGGTGCAGCACCGTTTGCAGAATGGGACTTTTGGCGGGCTCAGCAGGGCAGAGACAGCCTGGACAATTCCTATTGGCTTTTGAAAGCCAATAGAATTAGACTCTATTCAAGAGAGTCTATTCTATTGGCTTTCAAAAGCCAATAGAATAAAAGGGAGTAGCACAGCTAAGGAAAAGGGGAAAAAAATGGCGGACTGCGTTGTTTGGCGACCCCCGCGAAATGGTCGTTCGACCCCAAATGGGGTCCCAACCCACAGGTTGAGAACCACTCCTCTACATGAAACTGTTGGGGGAGATCATCTGTTACCATCAGTAGGCTGATGAAACTCAGTTGTAATTTTCTACGCCTGGCAAATTAAGCAGTGCTGCAGATGTCCTCTCCTGTTGCTTGGAGGCTGTAAGGGTCTAGATGAGGAACAACAGGCTTCAACTGAAACCAAATAAGACTGAGTGGCTTTGAGTTTTAGGGCCTTTCAGATCTGGGACTTTACCCTCTTTGATACTATATAAGTGGAAATGCCCCAGTTTGCATTCTGAGAGCCCTTCTGACTCATAAAGGAGGAGTAGGTGGCAGTCAGGGCCAGTTGTGTCAGTTTCTGAATCTTAAGGCTCTGCTCAGTTACCCATGCCCTGGCCTAGTCACTTCCCTTACAAACCACTGTAATTACATTGTAATTGAGTAGCCAGAAACTTCAACTGGTGCAAAATGTAGCGGCACAGGCAGCTATGTGTGTCCCTATGAGGGCAGTTATATTTCTGCTTTATGAATTGATTTGGTTACCAGTTTGCTTTTGAGTGCAATTCAAGATGCTGGTTTTGATCTTTAAAATCCTACATGGGACAGAATGGGGCCACATTACCTGAGGGATTGCCTCTTCTCCATTACATTTACCCATTGTGGGAAAATAGGCTGAGGAAGGTGTATTAGTATTTGTATTACTACAAATAAAGGAGAATATTTGTAGCTCAGGGTTGAAATGACGGGTCCTTGGTGTTCTCTGAGCTTGGTTGTTTTCTTGCAGAAGTCTCATTACGTCAATTTGGTTAATGAAGCACCTGCAAGAAAACAACCAAGCTCAGAGAACACCAAGGATTCCTCACTTTGGTGAAGGAAAAATAATAAAGGGATAAAAAAAATGTTTCCACTGCCCACAGGATGGGGCAGTACCACTCACTCTGGAAATGCTTGATCTATATAATGTATCTGATATCAAATATTTGAGATAGACCCCCTAACTGAAGCAATGAGCATGTCTCATTTTTGTCTAAATCAGGATCCCAAACTGGGGTGTTTGCACCCCTAGGGGTACGAGATGGAATTTCAGGGTATGTGACAAATAGTAGCTTGTGTCCCTTTAAGTCAGATAAGTCAGGAGCCACAATTACATTTGTGGAGAGTGCAAAATTAATCAAACTTTTGCTGTATATGTGGGGTGTAGAAAAGGCCGGGAACCACTGCTTTAAATAATACAAGTTAGGATGTACCTTATTGTGTTTCTCAGTCCTCTTGTGTTTTTCAATATCCATGCTAGAACATGAAGATTGTTTCCTTTTATATCTCCATTGGAATAAAGTAGCTGTAAGGACCCACCTCAGCTAACCACCCAAGAAAGCAGAACTCTTGAAACAGGCATTGTCTCAAAAGGAAACTTTTATTAGGTGTTAGTGACAGTAGGGAAGGCAAAACCTGGGGAAAATCCCGCTGAAACGGTATAGTTCAGACATGTCAAACACAAGGCCCGGGGCCCGGATGCGGCCCGCGAAGTGGTTTCATGTGGCCCGTGAAGCCATCCTGGAAACAGTGAGGGAACGGCCCCCGCTGCCTTGGCCCTGGCTGGCCGGGAGCCAATGTACAATTTTGTGGTGGCCATCTATGCTGAAACGCAATCAGTCTTAGCTCCACAAGGCCGTCTAGAAACAGCGAGGAACCAGCCTCTGCCGTGTGGGCCCCGCCCCCTGGGTGCATGCTGGGAAAGTGTCACTCTTTGTGTGGAATGAAGAAATGGACCATTCTTTGGCGCTTGCCCCGGTCCCACCCCCTTCTGCCAGAGACCCTCAGATCTGTCCCACTCCTGCCCAGGCCCCCACAGGCACCCTTGACACAAACAATGTAGAGCTGGCCATGCCCACCCAGTAGGCCACATCCACTCCATCCACACCCACCCAGTAGGCTGCACCCATCCTGGCCACACCCATCCGGTCCTCTGAGGGCAACCGCAGTGCTGATGCAGCCCTCAGTGAAATTGAGTTTGACATCCCTGGTATAGTTAAACCAGCAATATTCCTCCTCCCACCAGAATCAATAGTGTCTATTTGAACGGCATCTCAAGGTCTTCTCCAGTTTCGTTTCTCTGCAACCCTCTCCCTGATAAGGGAGACACATCCCTTTCTCAAGTGGAGAGAGGCGGGAGAGGAAGTTAGAAAGCTAAAGTTACCCCAAGCAAAAGCAAATTCCCCCCTCCCCCCAGCAGAATGGCAGGCCCAAAACAAGAGCATATATGCAGGGAAAACAATAAGATTTCTGGGGACCTGACAGTAGCACATGAAGATTTTTTTTTTTTAAAGGAAAGGAAGGCTAAGCTCTCAGGATAAGTAAGTTCCGACACATGTTTTTCTTATCCAAATAGCAATTTGTGTGACTCGTTTCGTATTGCAGCATCCAGGTTTTATTGACAGACTTTTTTCAAGTATGTTATTGGTTATTTTAATTTTTTTAAAAAAAGAAAAGAAATACCACACGGTTCATAACTAAAAAAGATAAAATTTGATATCTTGACTCAGGGTAATGGTCTTTTTATATGAGGCAAAACTTGGATTCGAAGTACAAACGCCAGCCTAAATATATAAAAAAGGATTCCTTAAAAAGGATGGGCAAGGTTTCCACTAATTTGTATTACTTCTGTACCAATTACAGGTATAACAGTGTGTTTAATAACCGTCTGAAATTACAATGGCACTGAAAAAAATTATCTGTGACCATTTTTCACACAACTGTTGTAGCCTCCCCAAGGTCATGTGATCAAATTTCAGGTGCTTGGCAACTGACTCATGACGGTTGCTGTGTCCCAAGATCATGTGACTACCTTTGGCAACTTCTGACAAGCAAAGTAAATAGGGAAGCCAGACTCCCTCCTAACAACCATATTACTAATTAAACTGCAGTGGTTCACTTAACAACTGTGTCAAGAAAGGTCATAAAATGGGGCAAAACTCACTTAAGAAATGTCTTGCTTGGCAACAGAAATTTTGAACTCCATTGTGGTCCTAAGTTGAGGACTAGCTGTATTAGGGTTTTTTAAATCCTGTTATTTTTCTATATTTTATATTCATTAAACATTCATTACCTGGAAACAAGCATCTCTGAACTCAGTTTTGCTCTTGTCCATGTGGGACAGTAAAGGAGAACACTCAGCTCTTTTAAAATCAGTTCTTCTCTATATAATGAATAAGCTTTTGTTACCTTGACTCAGCTACCTCTGCAAACCTTGGTTCCCCCCTGAAGAGGTACCCCATGTACCAATTGTAATACAAGCAAGTATCATTATTAAGTCATCTGATTATTTATTCTACACACTAAT